AAATAAATTGTCCACCATAAAACTGAAACTGTCCCTTTTCAACCTGTGAATAAGGATTATAAAATGTGGGAGTACTAGTAAAGTTTTATCTCAGCACTAATAAGCATCATGCCATGCCCATTTGTTTGCCCATTGGCTATGCTTACAAAATTAATTGGTGTACTGCTTCAAAGTTTCCACACACGAACATACTTTGGTCTCAGTGGGGGTGGAATTAACTGTACTATCTCTCATCCTTGGACCCCTTGGAGGAACAGAGGAACACTGGATAGTATTATTATTATTATTATTATTATTATTATTATTATTATTGCCAGTATTCAAAAGTGGGACAAAAAGCCGTGTGTATCTGTGTGTTCAACTGTTATTTGAAAATTCGGGTAGTTCTCTTCTCCATTTTGAGATTTGGTATGAATGGAGCAGGTGAGTCTATATCAGTGGAAGGCCTTCCTTCCACATTATCTCTTCACTTGTCCATGATAGTTGAAAATCACCTTTGGGGATGGAAAAGCAGAGCACATCAAGAAACTGCACTCCTTTGTCCCCTAATATTTGTCCAGTATTTTGCAGAGATGAGAGTGTAACCGATAAGACGTGTCAGAGATCCACTCACACAGGAAGGATGTGCTGTGTTTATACATCCAGTATCTATGGAAGTTTATACATTTGATGATGAAAATTCAAACATTATTATTATTATTATTTATTAAATTTGTATACCTCCCTATACTTGCATGTCTCAGGGCGGTTAGATAGAAGTCCTGCAGTGTGGTGTAAGATTTTGTGGCACTGGGGGCCACCTTATAGCTGTTTTTAGATTATCTGTTACAGTGAATGTGGAGCGCAGAGATTTGTTTTACACAGGGAGGCTCAGAACCTGAAACAAAGATTGAAGAAAGCACAGAGCCACTCAGAAATAGACTAGAATTTTTAAAACATTCACAAACAAAGTGCATCTTGGAGCCTGTGCATACCCTACTATACACAATACATATATTAGTTTCCTTCATAAATTTACAGCAAACAATGTAACAATTTAAGAACAAGGTGGAAAAGACAAGGATAAAGCGGACTACTTGGGGCAAAGAAAAGGGAAAGGAAAATTTCATGGCAAAAGAAGTAAAGGTAGCAGGGAAGAAGGTGAGGGTGGTATGTATCAGAGGGAAGTCACAGAAGTTGTGCAGCTAGTTTGTCTTAACAATTGTCCTGTTTGTCTTTGGCATGTTGCAAAGTTAAACTGCTTGTTTACATAGGATTTAAGCAAAGGTGTGTGAAATTCATAAGTTTCTTAAGACTGCAATGTAAGAAATTCTGTCCGGCACAAAGTGCCTTAACAAATACCATCTGTTTCTCTTGCAGTTATTGCCTTTTCCCTGTGTGTCAACACAGCTCAAATTGATGGGAACATTTTGATCATCCTTGACTTCTCAGCCATGACGTTTCTATCTGCCTCATTTTTGTTGGTGTAGTGTGAACATTCAATTCATCACCTTTTCTGTATGGGATTAGAAAATCTTATTCCTTCCTTCCATAGTGTCTGATTCAGCATCCACTCAAATCAAACACAAAAATCCGGTGAACATGAATTGGTGAAAAATTACACTGTTGCACAGTTCACAACATCAGCTTTTCAGCTGTCCTACAACATGGGGTACTCAACGAGTGATTATATGCTTTCCTTCTAGAAAAAAAATGACAGAAGCCATGACATGCTATCTCAACTTCTAGCACCATTTGGGTGGGTAATCAAACAATATTATTCAAAAGGTATAATTTGTTTAGATATTAAATTCCTTTCGAGGAAAGAAAGCAAAAGAAAGGTTTCATCACTTTCTTAGCTCAGCTGGGTAACTGCATCAGTAAATCCCCAGAAGAGTACTTGTATACCAAACCAAATGAGGAGAAGATCTGGCTGGCAGATCCTTACGGTCCTATAGTTCCTTGTGGCATAAAAGAGCCCAGATATGGAAATGTGTGTGTGTGTGTGTGTGTGTGTGTGTGTGTGTGTCTGGGTCTGGAAAAGAACCTGATAGTTGTGGTATTCAAAGGTCATCTCCCTCAATTAATTTCTCAATACACCTGTGTGTTCAGGTTAGATTCATAGAGAGGTACAGGTTGCAATTCAACATTATATCCCGTGAAGATCCAAGAAGAAGCATTTCCATATACAGTCCCTTCCAATGTTATCTTTAGTAATGCTGGAGCATTGTACCACGCTGTTGGTAATGTTGGAGTCTCAAAAAAACATGTGGGAAAAGCCCCTTCATTAGCTCTATTCCATACCAGCATTGTCCATCCCAGTAATGAGATGGGAAGGAGCCATTGAAAAGCAGTAGAAATGGACTGTCGATTTTGGACAGTTTCAGACATTCACGCAGGAAAAAAATGACATTGTGGTGAATCTCACACAAGCAAAGAACAGCAGAAGAGGCTCTATTAAACAAAATTATTATTATTATGCTGTACTGTTTTTAATACTTGATTGGGAGCCGCCCAGAGTGGCTGGGGAAACTCAGCCAGATGGGCGGGGTATAAATAATAAATTATTATTATTATTATTATTATTATTATTATTATTTTTAAAAAATCAGGAAAGTAACATCTGTATCAATTACCCCTTGGGAAGGAAAGGAAATTGGAAAAGAGATTATTCCAAGCATAGCAAAGGCTGGGAATGAAATGGTTAAACAGGCCTTTCCCCCATTCTTCTTCCCCAATGGTCTTCCACTCAACTTAGAAACACCCATAGCTGTACTGTTATCAGATTTAAAGAATGCTCTGAGGAAAGACGATGTTGTAGTTCAACCAACCAAACCTGACCTGTAAACTTCTTGGCCCTGCAGGCTGTCTGAGATTTATATGTAAACCATTGTTGGGCAAGCAGTTTCAGACCTCTATTGAATGATTAAAAGTAATATCTAAATATAAGGGTGGTATATTCAGAAAAAGACCCATTGATATTCATGGACATGAGTAACTTAAGCGTACCTCTTTAGTGTACTTACACAGTAACCTAGTGTGCCTACTCAGTGTCAGACTTAGTCAAGTACCACCCTGATTCTGGGATGGGGAACCTGTGACCCTCCAGATGTTGCTGTGCTACAAGTCCCATTGTTTCTGGCCATTGGCCATGCTGGCTAGTGCTGATGGGAACTGGAGTCCAACAACACCTGGAGGGTCACAGGTTCCCCATCCCTGCCCTAAATGTATACAAAAAATAAATAACAATAAAGCAAACTATGTTGACACAAGAATTATTTGCAAGACATTCAGGTCAAATATGAAGGGGGGGGGGAACCAACTCTAAATACTGGGTAATTCTAGAAAGAAGCCCTTTGTAGCTGAAACAACAAAGAATTTTGTGTTACCTTAAAGTTCAACAAAGTCTGTCTGTGAGTCTGAAGACTGCTGCATTCCAATTAGTGCACATTTGCTACATCTAATTCTAGTACACATCTTTTGTCAAAAGGATATTAAGAGTTAAATCTGCTGCTTCACCTTTTTTTATAGCCCCAAATTCTTAATGCTTCTGCAAATTAATTTTTCATATAGTAATCTATTTATCCCTTTCTTCACTACCATAGTAAGTGGCAGTTTAAATTTGAGCCATTCACTTGGATATTTCAATTATAATTTAAAACTAATGGGTATGAAATATGCATGCCTTGGTGAATTTGAGAATAAATATCTCTGGGAATATTTTATATGCAAAGGAGAAATATTAATTTGACAGTACAAACTTTGTCATGTGGCGTGAGTGTTTTTAAAAGTCATCAGAATGTGAGCTAGGGTCTATAAAGGAAGAAGTTATGGGAAAAAGATTCCTGTAAAAGGCTGAACATTTGTTTAAAACTTCTATCTGCATGGCATGTGGCAACTATTGCCCATTAGAATTCTCTAAAGCTCTATACCAGTATGGGTCAAGCTACATGTTACACTTAATGAGCACCATGCAGATTTGTCCCTTGTTTTTCTTAATTACAATCATGAAGGGATCATTATTGGGATCATACTGTATGGAGGGAAGGCTTATATATATATTGCTGTTGTTGGCAGTTGTTGTGTCTCAAGAGACAATGGAGTGCACCTCCGGGGTAAAATCAGTCCACTGGATAATCACAGTGCCTGCTGTGGCTCCAGAGACCAGTAACTCATAACTGCTGCCTCCTGCCTTTGGAGGTACAATACTTATTTAATAGGTTGTTATTAGCACCAATGAAAAACTTTTACTGAGCCTTATAGCCATGTCAGGAAGGAGACGATATTTAGGAGAGGGAAGGAATAGATCTTCCTGTGCATCATGGTCTTGATAACATTTTCTTACATGCAGGGCTGTCTTAAGCATATGCGGCGATGGGTGCAAAGATCCGCCCGGTGCCCCCCTGTGGCCCAGTCCCAGGCGTGCAGGAGGGCGGAGCCGGCCGGCTGCCTTAGTGTCTCACTGGCTTGGTCGCCCCCAAATTCGCGGCGCAGAACAACCTGCCGTAGTGCTCCAACCGACGGGCGAGCTCTTCCCCAGACTCAACTCTCGGACCCTGGACTCTCAGCCTGGTGCCCCTGAGAGCCCGGCGCCCGGGTGCCCCGCACCCCTAACACCTATGGGTAAGACAGCCCTGCTTACACAGTTGTATTCAGTTGAAGAAATACAAAACCTGTAGTTTCACACTACTTCTTAAGCATACTGGTACAAGTATCGGAAGGAGAGCCATATGCAGAGGATGAGAACCCTGGCTCCAGCAGTAATTTCTTGCAAATATTTGTGTGAAAGGCATTCAAAGGAAGCTGAAACAAATCTTTTCCTTCTGCAAGCCTCTTATGCTTCTTCTTGAAGGGGAGGAACCTGAGGGCCCAGCATATGTTCATTTACCTATCTCCTCCATTTGGCATTAAAACAGGTGGATCTGTTATAGCCATTCTGGAAAATAATTATATATAGTGGTCTGGTTGTTTTGATGCTAATTGGATTACCTAAACTGTCACACTGGATTATCTGCCTTCAGTGATGTTGAACTATATATTAGCTTTAACTTTGTTATGCTTTATTGAAGAAGAAGAAGAAGAAGAAGAAGAAGAAGAAGAAGAAGAAGAAGAAGAAGAAGAAGAATCGATCATGGCAACTCCTTCTAAGACACCCTTATGTTTTCTACTTCATCCGTGCTGCTTCCTGATCCTGAATGTGCACTGTGCCCATGGGATCTGGACCCAGAAGCATTAGGTAGGAAGTAAAGAGCATCACCATGACCCCCAAGTAATAAATACAAGGAGTGAGATCCAACTACAGTTTTACTCAGAATGAACCCACTGAAATCAATGAACACGACTAACTTAGGTCCATTAATTTCAATGAGTCTGCTCTGAGCAAAACCCAGCTGAGCTTAGTTTAAAATTTAAAATAAAAAATATATTTTTAGAATTTCTTCCCCACCTTGGCAGGGTAAGAGGTAAAGTGAGGAGAACATTGTGAAGGTGACTCAGGACACACCACGATGCTTCTTTAAAAAGCTTAAAAAATAATGATATAACCTTTCACCAGCCACTGAAAAAAGAGCTAAAGTAAGCCACCAGCATCACAAAACTTCAGAGAAATTTGTTCATCCCCCCCCCCCCAAAAAAGCACTATACGTTTCTCCACATTTTGCGGAGTTGTGTGGGAAAGTTCCGTGGAAGTACAGCATGATCTGGGGGACAGCAATAGATAGGACACAAAATATTTAATTTGCTCACTGAACAGATATATGTGCAATCAACTCAATCTTTCTTTTAATTATGCAAGCTACACCAATATGCTCAGCTATTTATTTTAATGCAATGTTGATCCAATATGCCAATATGCCATACTGTTTGCCTGACACCATAGAATTCCTCCAGAAAGAAAGATCCATCAAAACCCTTACAAAGAGCATGTTCTTGGTTACCATGGATATATAACAACATCCCTCAAAAAAGAGAGGCTGCAAGCCATTAGGAATGTCCTCTTTGATGATGTTGCTATGGTCCATTTAGCTGCAAAGCTTTTCAACGTTTTCCTTGTTCAAAATAACTGCAGATCTGGGGACAGTCTATATTTTCAGTTCAATTGAACTGCCACGTACATGATGGCACAATATGTGACTCTAGATAAGCCATTTTAGAGCTAAGTATAAAATTGCATGTGACTCTGGAAGATTCCTGATCAACCCCCAAGCTGCTTCTTCTTTTTTAGTAAAGGAAATGAACATTGACCATGCTGGCTGGGCTCATGAGAGCTGAAGTCGAATAACATCTGTACAGCCACATGTTCCTCAACCCTGGACTATACTATTGTTTTTGAAAGCTCATGCTATAGAAAAACAGTTAGTCTAACTAAGCAACATGCAGGGTGTGGGCTTTTAACACAACACAGAAGCAAATATTATTTTGATATATGTTGTGATCTAGAGCTCAGTGATCTAAGTTGCATGCCTTTTTCTAGAGTGGCTTCCAAAGTATAAGGCTATTCCCATTTATGTCTGCTGTAGTATCTTTTCCTGTTTGTGAACAAACTTTTCAATGGTATTTTTAAATTTTTCTTATTACTGTATATTTGTTCATCACTTTTTTTATAAAAAAAAAAAAAACTTCTCCAAACGATGTACAGTCTCTGCTCTACTGTTCCATTTGTTAGAATGGTAAGATATCAATTCAAACCTCCTCAATTCAGTGTTCTGAGATACAGGAATCAATTCTCTTATGATGTTAGATCATCATTTTGGCTTCTAGTTTGCTTCCTGTATGTGTTAATATGGGATTCTCAATTGGTTAAGGTTTATTACAGAATACCATTAATAGTTCACTAATGCATCAACCAAGTCAATATATAGCACATGCTATATATTGCAATATATAACGCATGATACATATATATACATTCTAAGCTAAATTAATTTAAGAATATATATATATATACATATAGTGTATGTGTATGTGTGAAGTTAAATCTGTAATGACATTAATGAATTTCAATAAAGATTTTTTTTTCATCTAAAAAAAGGACAATATATAGCACATGCTTATAGACCCAATCAAGATAATATATAACATTTTCTGTTGACCATACACATACATTTTCAGCTCATTTCTAAGTGTGTTTGGACTCTGCTGAGGTGACTAGAAATATATTGGACTGCATGAAAAATAAATGTGGCTGCTTATGACATTACTTTTGTTTTTTTTAAAATGTGCAGGCTTATCACTAGTTATTTGTTTGAGAAGCATTCACTTTTTCTTTAAATCATTCTCTTAGCTGCATTGTTCTGGCTCCCTTGTATTCTTGTTATGAACAATATTTTGTAAAAGAAATATTTTGGTTTCTCTATCAATCTGGTATTGATTTCTGTTGTCACTGCTCTCAGAAGATCACTTGTTCTTTAAACCTCACTGAGGAGGTTTTGGGTTGCTGGGAGTGTCAATGTGGCTTTTCTAATTTTCTCTGATGATAATGAAAGCAGCTGGAGAAGGGATGGGCAAAAGATGCAATACTCTTCCTTTCCTTCTCTTTGTGCACCTACAGTAATGTGGTCCCTGTGCTTGTCACTGAAATGTTGCTTTGTTTTTGTTTGTGTGCTACCACGTTAACCTAAATTAATGTAAGCAATTAAAATGCTCATTATCTGAGGCTCAAAAATTAAGTGCTAGTTTGCAGAGCAGCACCTTTGGAGAGCAATATTAGAGCAGAACATCTCACAAACGTATTTGTTAATGGAAAATGAGAAATGCAGAGATGTTGGATCAAGTGATGGACTAAAGCACTGCAAATGAGCTGGACTGGGGGGGAAATGTCTATGGGATCAAACTGTGAAAGGATGGCTAGTAGTCAGGGTGGCTATTTTCTAACCTGTGCTGTCAGGGAAACGTTGCCTCTGCATGTCAGTTGCTGGGCATCACAAGTGGGGAGAGTGCTGCTGCGCTCAGGTCTTGTCTGTTGACTTCCCTTAGCCATCTGGTTGGCCACTGTGAGAACAGGATGCTGGACTAGATGAGCCTTTGATCTGAACCAGAATGACTGTTCTTATGTTCTTAGGATATAAGCGTAGAAAGTTCCATTCCCCTCACCTGACCCCTCCTGACTGAAATAAAATTATATGCCTTTCCACAGCACTCTCTTGTTTTCTTTTGAATTTATTCAGTGGGGGAAATATATGATTAAATAAACATGGTTGTCCTTATCCAGTTTGGCCCTGAATCTCCAAATGAAAAACAAAACAAAAACCCTTTGATCAAATACAGGAGCAAAACACTCTTGAGCCCTGAATTAAGCATCAACCTAGAAACTACATTTATATATAAACTTAGCTGAAATTAGACATTTCTGCCAAATTTTCATTGACAGACATCCACCCTTACTTTCAAAACATGCACTTCCTGTGTCCCACTTGGTATCATTTTCCTTGTTTCATTTTCACACCTGTTTACTACATCATCCCTGACATTTTATTAACCACAAAAAGTGGGATGCTTCTGCCAATTAGTAACACTGTTTTATTCAGTCTGGGGATTTTTTTTATAAAAAAACCCCCACTACTGATTGACCTACAGTGGAACAGATGCTTATCTGTGTAGATTATTTGATGTGTATTGCAAATTCAAATGTTATAGGCTCCGGGAGGAATACAACATGGCCTTTACTAAAATAGAGACAATAAGAGAGGAATCTTTAGCCAATATTTTTGCTCTTTTTTACTTTATTTCTGGCAACATTTGTAACCATTAAATGGTCTCAATGAAAAAATATAGATATAGTCAGCTGAAAAATAAAGTCTGTCTAGAATCCAAACACAAATATTTACCTAAGCTAAATTATAGTACAACTTACTTACCTATTCATGGATTTAAGATCTGAGGACTATTGGAAACAGATAAAAGAGCAAAGATAAGTAGTACAACATTATTTACTCAGGAGAATTGTATTTGGTGTGAGGACAAGTTTTTTGTTTTTGTTTTAAATGGGTTACAGAAGTTGTGACTGAAACATTGAGCGCATTCTCCATTTTTAGTCTAGATGGGAAATGGAGTAGTTATGATTTGTTTGGGTGAACCTAAGAAGAGTTCTACTTGATCAGACCAAAGACCAATCCAGCATCCTCTTATCATAGTGGCTAAACAGATGTCTATTGGAATATTTGACCATCAAAATATGTACTACAGCACTAAAATGCTCCAATCCAGTGAGGAAACTGATATAAAAGCATGTGATTGTGATAGTCATCTGCACTGGGCCCAAGCTAAATTGATGAGCATCCAAAGCCGCATGCCATTAGAGCTCCTTGGGGGCTCTATGCTTAAGATGCTTCCAAATTTCGATGTATGTGCAGTTGAGATTTATCTCTAGCAAAAGCACGGCTGTTCATGTTACATACTGACCATTGCTGATCATAAAATCTGTACTCTTCACACTCCTGCAACATATTCAGAAGGTAACTTAATCTTGTGCATGTCTCCAAACCTGTCCTCAAAAACATGTGAACAGATGATGTTAGTATTTCTGACTTTGACTCTAATTGAGCCTTGCAAATATGTTCAAGTAATACAGTAACCTGGTGCTGCACATATTGTTTTGGGGCAATGGGACTAGATTTCATTTCACATTGCTATATCACCCGCTATCAACAGTGCCTTGTCATTTCAATCTGTCACACATTTTCTTTGCCATCTTTGAAATCATATGTTAGTCTCATCTCCATCTCCATCTGGAGCTAGGAGCAAAGAAGCTGTTATACAGTGAGAAATTGTGCTCTCCTGATACTTTGTTCCGTATGGGTGATAGGAATTGAGGAAATCCAGAGATGCTCAGCAAAGGAGTGACCTAAGGGGGTGGTACATTTGCACAGCATGTTTATACTGCAGTGAGCTGTACCAAATTAGTGTAACTTAATATGCAAGTCTTCATATTGACCTGTTTAGATTTTTTGAGGGGAGGGGTTGTTTTTGCAGAAAGCATGTAAAGTACTTTGTAATTTATGTACTGCTCTCACAGAAATTGTTAGCAAATATTGTTAGCAGATATAGATCATATTTGGCAGAATAATGACTACAGATGCAATCCTATGCACATTTAGAACAATAAAACCATACATTTGGAGGGGTCTTGCAGGCTATCTAGTCTGAGCCTTTCCTCAGTGCAGAAAATTCAGAGTGAAAGTATCCCCAACAGATGGCTGTCCAAACTGTATTTGAAGACTTCTGGCACGTAAGAGCCTG